GAGCACAGCGCCTTAACCCTTTCCACTTTAGTAAACTATAGTACACAAAACTAGGATAGTTGGTATCAAAAGGAGGCAACGTGCCTCCTTTAAGGCCAGTTATTCCCTAATCGACTTGAACGCTTGTAGGAAAATTGTGAAGTGAGCATTACAGTAAGGTTAAAGTTAGTAAGTAGAGGGTCTCGAAGAGCACCCAGGAGAGTGGATCGTCCTAATGTTCTTGTCTGCTTCCGTTCAGCGTACTTCTACCAGAACAATCCGTTATCTGTGCAATGAAACCCGGAGCGGGTAACACTTCCCCCTTCGATGAAAACGACTTAACCCGGTTAGGCAATGCCATGAGCTGAGGCCATTGACTTGACTGCTGTGTCTTTTTTGTTTTGCGCGGCAAATAGCTTGACGAGCGCTGGCACATATTCCAGCAGGTTCTACACGGGCTCCCATGTGTTCTCAAGCTCACATAACCCACGCCACTTGACCAAAAGCTGATGCATCACACTAGTCGCGTCCTAGCGAGCTTTCAGCAGCTTCTCCACAACATGTCCTTCTCTGTTGTGCGCGACGTGAGCGATAAGATCCTCCGTGATCCCCAGCGAAGAATCCGAATAGAACTTGAGCCGGGTCGCATGAGCTTCATTTGTTTCTCCAGTTAGTAAGTTCTCCACTGTGAACACCCAGTTCGACGACGTGTCAACAACTCTAGCGGGGCCGCACCACTTCACCCGAAGCTTCGAGTGACGATGACTCCAAACATCCGCATACAAAACAAAGTCCCCAGTTGCGAATTGCGCCATCTTGGCAGCGCGTTTGAGCGATTTTGCTCGCCCCTTTCTTTCCGCTGCACTTCGTCCAATTGCCACTCGCTTGTGTAGTTCTTCGAGAGCCTTAGCCAATTTAGCGAAATTAGCTCCACGAATTGCCCTGACCTCGTCCAAACTGGCCGCTTCCATGCCTTCAGGAGTCACCACTGGGTCCAGCGGATTAATGGCGGGCAAACCTGCCATCGCCGTGATCGGCGCCACTCCTCCAAGTGAATCGGAAACACATTATTAAGCACCATCTGCACGATTTTAATCACTTTGGGCCAGTCCGTCTCAGGTAACCGCCACTCAGACAACAGCGCCCGAACAGACCGCAGCACCTCGCGCATTACCACTTCCACCGTCCCATTAGCCCATGGGGATCGTGCGGTGGTAAAATGGTGGTGTGCTCCCAACGCTCGTTGCAAATCCGCAATTAATGCATTCTTGAAGTGTGTGCCTTGGTCTGAGACTCTAACGGGGTACGTACCCCAGTGTACCCAAGTTACATAAAGAGTGATCAGTCACTCTTGTAATACCTGGTACATGGTACCAGGGGCTCTAGGAGCCAATCATTGCATATCTACATAGCTTCACTATAGGT